GCGCATCCAAAAAGGTGCATTTTATTGTAGTCGGGTTTCTTCCCAAACCACATCTCATAGGGGGTTTTTAAATCAGGAAGGCTTTGTGTTACACATCTATTTAATATGTAGCATGCAACTCTAGAGCATTCTCCCCACATGTCAGCAGACAAATGTGAGTCATAAAGAAGTGCTCTGGTTTTATCCATTAACGAACGGTTGAGTAGTTCGGCTTTGGCATTTAGTTTAGGCGTATGTGGAATTGTGGAATCAAATATGGTGCCTCTGGATTTTGCCCTATTCAACAAGTTTTCTATCAGCACGAATTTTATACACAGGCAAAGTCCATTTTGACTCCACTTCTGCTACATATTGTTTTAGAGTTTCAGTAGTATCAGATTTTCTTTTCAACAAATAGATTTGTTTGAAACATGTAAAATCATCTTGGAATGTTAAAATGTAAGTATATCCATCCCATGTAGGTTTCTCAATTTGGCATATGTCTGTATGGATAATTTCTAGCGGTCGAGTTGCTCTGGTGCGCTCTGTAGAAAATGAAAAACGAGTCTGTTTTGCCTTCAGACAGACATCACAAGTGTTTTCTGCGATTTTGAAGTCAGTCTCTGTTATTCCTAAATTATTTTCTTTATTAAGTTGTTTTAAATTTTTATAGCTGAGATGTCCCAGAGTTCTATGCCAATACACAGCATCTTTCTTTCTTGAATTTTGTACTTGGAAACATGTCAGTTGTTCAGGAGCATCTGAAGTGAGTTTTAAAACATACAACCCGTTAGCTTGTTTTCTCCTTTTAGAACATGGTTGTTTTTGGAGATCATAACGTTTTCTTTGGTAAAAAGTACTTGACCACTATTTTCAGTTATGGCTCCAACTGATATGAGGTTGCTGTCAAGACATGGAGCTAGTATGACATCTTTAAGAATACATTCTTTGGCATCCAAAGTTCCAACACCAGTAGGGACTGATTTTTCTTAGTAACTTTAACTTCATCATGTTCAATTTTAAAGTTTGACAAAAGAGAGGGTTGATTTGTCATATGAGATGATGACCCGCTGTCTACATAAAATTTTAGTTCATTGGTATTGCAATTTTCTGATCTTTGAGTTAAGTATGCAACTTTGTCTTTAACTTCCATTTCTCTTTTCTCATGCTCAGCACGGAAAAAAACATCTTTCCGACTTGTGATTAGTCTTTTTGCAGTACCTGTTTTCTTTAGCATCATGAATTGATTTCTGCATTGGACATGCATTTTTGAAATGACCTGGTTGTTTACATTTGAAACAGGTGGGGGGTTTTTCACTTTTCTTCAGGTAGGACTTTTTCTGTTTAGAGGTTTGAAAAGCAACATTTTCACTGGTTCTAGGTTTTCCAATATTATTTTCTTCAGCAAAGAGTCGAGTCACAAGATTGTCCACTGTGCGATCATCTTTAGCTACAGAACCCCAAGCTGTACGAAATGTTGCATATTCAGGAGGTAAAGCAGCAAGAATTTTGGATATAATCATCTCATCAGCGATATTCTGCTTAAGAGCCGTCAGACGAAAAGCTATATTTTGTATAGTGCTAATATTGTGAGCCATATCACGCGATTTGTCAAAGTTATGCGCATAAAATTTCGGTAAAAGTCCATTCACCTGATCTTCATTTTGTCGATCATAAACCTTGATTAGTTTGTCCATCATTTCCTTTGATGTTTTGCAGTGTAATATGTGACACAACACAGTCTTACTAACTGAGGCGATTATCGCTTTTTTAGCACGAGCATCCTTTTTTATGAACTCTTTTTTGTCCTTTTCATCAGTCAAATTCTCCTGTTTTATCGTTCCCAAGGTAAACTCATCGATATCGGCAGATTTGTAATTTCCATACATGGAAATTGTCAACACCGCTCAATTTTTCAATTTGTGAGACATCATCGATCTGATTTGAAGACATGTTGCAGAAAAATATATTTTCTTTTTTTTACTTACAATCTGTGTGATTAAACTCGATTTTCACTTGTTCAATCACCGTCACTGGTTTATAGGTTTTACTCACTGTTTTTATGACCACTTTACAAACACTGCTTAGCGCTTCAGTATAAACGTAATCTGGGCACATAACCTGTTAAGGTTTTTAAGTTATGACACACACAAACTGTTTTAAACACTGACATTTAATATTAAGGTTTTAATGAACAGCATGGTTTAAGTGACAAACAGAAACGAGTGTTCTGATTGGCCCAGAGACAGAAATGGCGGACCAATAGCCTTTTTTAAGTAACATGTGACCACAATTCTCTCCAATATTCAAATTTACTTACTAACAGAGTTAAAGTCTTTTGGATTGGCACGGCAGAATAATGACGTTATACGTTGCTATTTAGTACATTTGTCGTACAAAATTGTCGTTTTAACAGATGATACAAAGTAACTAATTTGACTAAGGTGTCGACCACTATTAGCTGACCTCATAGAGATATAATCATAGAGAGAACACGGGGTACAGATGCACGTAAGTGGAAGCGATACAGGCAACGAGAGAGATGGATGTACGATATTTCCCACTGTCTCTGTTTAGCTAAGCTGCGATTGGCTACTTATTAACCCCTTATGTTCCCCAGCCAACCATAGAGCTCGGCTAGAAAGAGATAAAGGGGACTATTATCCATCTCACTCTTTGGCTATATTGCAAGATATGGGTTCTTGTTCCCTCTAGCTTATTTCTCTGTGGCCGACCTACTCAAGTTATTTCTTCCACTCCCCAATCAATCCCATTTCTACCATAGTCTTCTCTTCTCATCTATCATTTCTTTCAACATACTCTCAATTTTCCCCTCTAATCTCTTGTCTGGTTGACGGCAAGAACTTTGCCCCTTATACTCCAGTCAGACTAAAGTCGTCATCATCAGCCTTTAATAGTCCACTGCTGAACAAAGGCCTATCCAGAAAGGAGGTTTTGGAATACCGAGATGGCCAAACGGGTTGATATAGAGTTTATGTAAAGTTTGACTTCTCCTTGCAGTGCCGTTGTCCTGCGTAGTTTGCTCCCTCAGTCGGCTCTTACGACACTCATGGGATGAATATGGGTGGTGACATTCCGTTTCATCCGTCCCCACACCGACATTTATATAATAGATTAATTCCAAATAATTAAGAGAGACAGCACAAACCATATTGGCTCACTAAAATACTACATTCAGAGGCTAGGCTATGACTATTTATAAGTTACAGAAATTCAACAAAAATTACAACAATCTTTAATGTATTGGATTCTACCGTTTATTTTCTTACTCACTACTTGTAGAATGCATCTTTGTCCGTATCCAAGTTTCTTTTTCAGTAATTTATCTTCTCCAGTGCTTTCTCGTACTGATGTGCGATTTAAATATTATACATATATGTTATATATAAATAAAATTTACAACATTTTTTTAATTGTTTTATTTTAGCTTTATGTCTAGTATAAAATTACGTTTACAATGATTATAATTATTAAAACATGCAATACAGTATTTATTTATATAGATATTCTATTCCCGCTGTTAACAGTCCTACTAACTAGTTACTCGAAAATTAGAATATTTGCGGGTATGACATTAGTACTGTTCGAACGTTATAAGTATGGCTGCCACATCTACTCAGCGCCATCTTGCGGCGATATACCGAACTATGTCGTTACTGCTGATTCTACATCGCACAATAACAGTCCTTGCTTTGATTAGTAGGTATATATTATACATTGTGTATTGTTCACGGCCCAATACACTTCAAAAGTGTATTGGGCCGTGGGGGTTCTTCTGAGGCCCGAGTGTGAGTTTATTTCTCAACAACTCGATCGTCACGGTGACCGCGTTGACTCGAGCGACTCAATGTAAAATAAAATTACACTAGGCCCTCTGCTGTGGGACACTGCGTGGAACTAAAGTGACATTTCGTAATACGAAAGGCGTTTGCGAAATATAATTTCAGTGTTGACATAAATAATAAAAATTAAGTTTATAATCTATATGGAGATTGATGAAAATAAATTTATTATTATTTAATTGCAACATGATGGTATTATAGGTAAATATCAGTGCTCAAAGCACAGTAACTCTTGCAATTAAATGTTAAAAAAATTAAAATCATAAAAAAATGCAGTCTATTTTCGTAAAGGTATATCCATTAATTACGTGACTCATAAACTATAAATTACATTTTCTGGATCACAGTGATAACGAAGCCAGTTAAAACTGTAAAGAATCCTAAGAAGTTAACATTAACTTACTTCTAATTACCGTGTTAAATTAAAACTCTGTATGTACATGTACTTCGGATGACATGTATAGTGACGTCACTAGCCATGTTCATTTTTATTAGTTTTACACTGGGGAATAGAATATGTATGACAATAGATAGATGTAATCGTGATAATATGGAAAGCCTCGTAAAATATAAGCAAATGATGATCTTAGTTTAATATTTATTTTTATGCGTAAGTATATAAATTTATTCATAATATCACAAGATAAAGTAAAGTAATATTTCCTTATAATTACGTGTGCGGCTTAAATTGCCTACCACTGCTATGGTAGATGTCACGAAATTTGACTACAAATGTCGTTGTTACCAAAAATATATATTTTTTTGAAGTGATAACTTATTATGGGAGGGTAAACCGCTTCGTTACGTAACGCGTTACGGCGCCAGTCTGTCTGGCTTCCCTTTCTCTCACGCATACGGCAGCGGTTGGCAGGTTCCTTGTCTCACTTTAACCCACAGCGCTAGCCGTATTTCGGACAGACGCTTTACATAAAATTTAAGTAATAACCTAAGCTTTTCTGAAGTTAAAGAATTACAATGGGAATTGTAAAGAGCTATCTAAATATATAAGTATGTTTATCAGCAGTCTGGTTACCATAGTACAGGCCCTGCCTAGTTTGGGATCAGACGGCCATGTTTGAAGTTACCATTATACTCAAAACGGGGCAGACGTTTGCTGTACAAATATATTTATGGTATCGAAGATGTGATTATGGAAGGTCAGTAGTCAGTAGGCGGTTCCTGTGTAGCTAGGTGGTCGATAAGTTTTTGTATTTCTTCGGGTACGGGCGGAGGTGTTGGTAAGTGGTCACCTGAAGCCACGAATCCACTTTTATCAGCTTTGTACAGCACGTTGATTACCTGTGAAGAATATAACGTTACATGAGGAGACAAATCGGTATAAAATATAAATCGATCCAGCCGTACTAGGCGACATCGAAGTTGTGTAGAAAGATTGTTATCTGACTATTTTTATGGCTCCAACTAACCGTAACGAATGCCACAGATGTTCGTATGACAACCGGGGCCGACGCCTTAACGTGCTTTCTGAGGCCCGGAGGGGACTCAATGTGTTAAGAATAGTCACCCATCCATAGACTGACTTTGCTAGGATTCCTTGACTTTGTAATGTTATTACCTACTCGGTTACCAATTTTTTTTTAATGTATAGGGGGCAGATGAGCAGACGGGTCACCTGATGGAAAGTGACCATCGCCGCCCATGAAGGTCTGGGACTCAGGAGTCACAAACACGTTGCCGGCCTTTTAGGAAGGAGTACGCTCTTTTCTTGAAGATTTGAAGGTCGTATCGGTCAGGAAATACCGCAGACGATAACCCGTTCCACAGATTGGTTGTGTGGGGCAAAAAGTGTTGTGAAAAGCGCACTGTTGTGGAGCGCCAACTATCCAGGTAATGAAAATGAAAATTTTGCCGTGTGTAACGATGGCGGAAATTTGCGACTGGCATTAGTCCGAACAATTCCGCGGAGCACTCTCCATGATACATGCGATAAAGAATGCAGAGTGAAGCCACATGTCTACGTAACTTTGGGCTATCGACGATTCGAGTCGCTCTTCGTTGGATGCGGTCCAGAGGGAGAAGCTGGTACTGAGGTACCCCTGCATAGAGATGTGAACACTATTCCATATGCGGCCGGACTTGCGCCTTATAGAGCTGAAGGCGGTGGGCCGGAGTTAAATACTGCCTCGATCTGTCCAACACGTCGAGCTTTTTCGAAGGCCAATTTGATCTTACCCTCTAATTGACACCGAAACTGGACTTAGCCATGAGTCCCCTCATATATGGTGTAACTATAGATATACTCGTATTATTAATTTGGATGATTGTGTATGACTTACCTCTCCGTCTGGCGCCGTGTACTGAAACTGTCCCTCCACTAGAAAATTGGCCGGTGTTGTACTATCTTGCTCGAATCTCCCTCTCTGCTCGTGATATATACCTCCTGCTGGAAAATACAAATATAACAATTAGATATATAAATAAAAAATACTGTGAATCAAGGCGCCCATCAACTGCCTTCACTGCATATGAGAGTTGTACCGTGATGTCACATACCCTGAAGAGAAAGATTAATAACCTCCCTGAAGAATTGGGCATAGGACAGAGTGGCAGCTGGGAGAAGGCGACGTCCACGTGTTTCTGGAAGTTACCTAAAAAGAGTTTAACCACCACCTCCTCCACCAACTTTAGGGGAAGGAAGATGCAGAGGGCGGTTACGCAATTTTGTGTTTTGAGTTGGAGGTGTCCATGTGTGAAGGCCATCACTTGCCATCATGTGAGTCGTTCATTAGCCTACAATACCATTAAAACATCATCATCATCATCATCAACAGCCTTTACTAGTCCACTGCTGGACATAGGCCTCTCCTTAGGAAGGAGGTTTTGGCCTACTATACCACGCTGGCCAGACGGGTTGGTATAGGGTTTGTTTCAAGTTTTCCTTCTCTCTGCAGTGCTGTTGTCCTGCGTAGTTTGCTTCCTTAGTCGCCTCTTACGACACCCACGGGATGAATAGGGGTGGTGACACTCTGTATTCTTAATCCGTCACCACACGGAAACAGTAATCATTAAAACAGTAATCATTTATCAAACAATTAATAGTTGTATCAATTTTTTTATATGTTTTATTTGTTTTTGTAACTGTATAACTACTTTACTTTATCAGCTGTAAATAAAGTGGTAAGCCTAATAAATAATAATAAAAAAAAAAACAGTGCCCTTTTGCCACTGACCTAGTGGAAAGCCTTTCATAGAATGAAGTTAATGATGAATCTCAAATACATGATATGTATATTTACCAGTTTGCAGAGCCCATCGGTACGAGCCGTCCTCGTGGACCCCATCGAAATCTTTACGTATAATGCCATCGTTTTTCTGGCACCAAGACGACGTAGCTACCGTGAGGACCTACAATATTAAAAAAAGAAGTATTAAAAATTCTGGCAGTGACCCTGTATTGTTAGTTGACCCGCACAAATTCGTCTGCTTCTTTCAAAAGGAATAAATTTTCACTGTTATTGCAGCATTTTTCATTGATGCTCCTATAGGTCAAAGCGTGATGTTACATAGCCTATAGCTATCCTCGATAAATGGACTACCCAACACTAAAATCATTTTTCAATTCGAACCAGTAGTTCTTTTTTTTATGGGCAGACAAGCATACGGGTCACCAGTCACAAACGCGTTGCGGGCCTATTAGAAAGGAGTACGCTCTTTTCTTGAAGGTTTGAAGGCCGTATCGTGCCTGAGATTAGGGAGTTCAACCAAACAAAACTAACTCTTATGTTTTATAATATTATGGTATAGATTTATTTATAACTAAATGCACAATGCAATGCAAATGCATTTGTACACAGGCTGACTTAGTGCACTGGGCATTCTTTGCCAGTCGAGCTTCGGGCGATGTATAAATATGATGCGGAGAGTGCTAAGATAAAATATAAAAATTCACACACAACTACACACAACGGTGATACCTAGCACCACGGAAGTTCGGTAATGGAACTATTCTAGAAGAAGAAGAAGAATTGAAAATGATAGAATCTAGATTTGTAACTAAAGAACACTCACAATCAGTATACTCGGAAGGAACTAGACTTGCGTTTACAAATGCTGGGCATAACGAATATAACAGTGTAATTTTGAACACTTGTGGAAATAAAATTGTTTCATTAGCATGCGAAGTTTTCACAATGCTGAGCAACAAATCTGCGATCGAAAGAAAGAAGAAAAAATTTTTATTGCATGAAAGAAGAACATTTTTTTTGTTTTTGTGTAATGTTATATAGTAAGTTAGTTTTAAGAAAAAAAAATGTTTTTTTTTGTTTTCCGGTGAATAGTTCCGTTCAATGGTAGCATTTAGCCAAATGAAGTTAATATAAGAATGGACTAGGACAATGTTTACCTATGCTCAATTGTTTTTTTTTAAGTAAGCAAAATACTTATTGCTTCGTTTGTGTGATTTCATTCACTAATTAAAAGTTTTGATTATAATTGTCGGTTTTTTGTTAACACCATTACCTTCTAAGTAAAATAACATTATCACATAATACTATCTATATGTCCGTGTAGTGACGGATTGTCCGTGTGGTGACGGATTAAGAATACAAATTGTCACCACCCCAATTCATCCCGTGGGTGTCGTAAGAAACGATTAAGGGAGCAAACTACGCAGGACAACAGTACTGCAAAGAGAAGGAAAACTTGAAACAAACCCTATACCAACCAGTCTGGCCAGCGTGGTATAGTAGGCCAAAACCTCCTTTCTAAGGAGAGGCCTGTGTCCAGCAGTGGACTAGAAAAGGCTGTGGATGACTACCTACTATACTATTATAAAATATATGAATACAGTATAATATATATGTATATATAAAGCATACAATATTATTAACTTATCAAGAAATTTTACGTTTCTTTCAAATTGTGTAAACTTTTGAATTTTACTGTTAGGTGTTAGGCACCTCGCCGTCCATTAACCAAACACAAGCTATGTCATAGAGACCATCTCAAATACCACATGTAGGCGTACAATTACATAATAACTGGTTTACATTCAACTCAGCCACTTTGTACGCTTTAAACTTGACCTTTCCTAAGTTTGAACTTTGAATTATACTTTTGTTTTTTTAAGACGACCGATGTAACGTTGATAACATTCATACTCTCTTAAATATCATAATAAATAGATAAACTATTCACTTAAAACATCTCACACACGGCTGTCTGATCCCAAACTAGGCAGAGCCTGTACTGTGGTAACCAGACTGCTGATAAACATATTTCTAAATACATACATATCTATGCAAATTAATAAAATTGAATTGTCTGTTTGTAATGTCAAAATAATAGTTTTTTTTTCATGCTCACAAGGTTATTTGCAAGATACCTATACCTAAAAACTATTTTTTTTGTCTGTGATTGTTCCGGGTAATCTTCTAAATGGCTACGATTTTCATAATACTCGTATTTTACTACCAGGTAGCTGTCTATATAACGAGTAACTTAGGCTATTTTTCCTCTCAGAATCACCCTTTAAAATTTTGCCCGGTCCGGGGATTGTAACCCACTAAGGCACCGCTTTTCAAATTCCTAAATTATTCATAGATGAATTACACCCAGATATATTAAATCAAATAATTTTATTTGCAGAAAAAAACTATTGCAACGATTTTATGAAATATATATTTATGTTTCAAGTGATTCTACCCTAAGGCATGCAAAATATATACAATTATTGTTTATTGAAACCAAGATCGACATCGAAACATTTAAATAAAATTAGATTATAGAATAATTCCGTGGTGTGACAGATTAAAAATACAGAGTGTCGCCACCCCTATTCATCCCGTGGGTGTCGTAAGAACCGATTAAGAACAAACTACGCAGGACAAAGCACTGCAAAGAGAAAGGAAACCTTGAAACAAACCGAATACCAACCCGTCTGGCCAGCGTGAAATAGTAGGCCAATGCTTCCTTTCTAATGAGAGGCCTATGTCCAGCAGTGGACTATTCAAGGCTGTTGATGATAGAATAATTCAAATGAAAATAATGCCCCTCTTAAAGTTAGAATAATAAAGATTAATTATTTATTGAATAATAATTAGATTTTATCAATTTCACTCCCTGAATTATTACAATAGATATATTAACAAATGAATTATATTTAAAAGACACATACATAACCGTTCCATTACTTGACGTTACTGTGAGTGAAAAATCACCGTTTAGATAATCATCAAAGTTATAGCTGAAATGATTTTTGTTGCGACTGCGACATAACTAAACGCACAATAACGCGCATCGGCGCGGCGTACGGGGGGACTACCCCGACCGGAGCGGCGAGCGGGGGACCGGCCGGGACATTCAACGGCCGTCACTCTCGCCTTGGGACATCACCGTGGACGGTTCGACCTCTTAATATTTCATCGTTCTTGAATTTAATGTACGTGTAAAGACCCGGCAATTAAACCACCAGCAAAACAGTCCACTGCCATTTTACTTACGTCCCCCTGAACCCTTAAACATTTTTCTCATTACATATTTATTTGTTCTGGGTGAGAATCGTACCAATAATCTCTGATTCACGAGTTAGGCTCACTAATCATTATACTGCCTTATAATATTCGATAACCCGTACAAGCTTTTCAGTGTCATCTCAACCTAAACTAAGCAGAACTCAGTTATTAGAACTTAGAATTTGGGACCGCGGTCCCAAATTCCCCTATAAATACAAAACAATTTTTTGAGTAGTATATTGCGAGTAGGATATTAAGTAGTATATGGCGTAGTGGGACGCTGGGTTTTGTGGGTCCGATCCCCACATGGGACGACACTTTGTGTGGTACACAAATTGTTGTTCTTGTGTCGTTTCATGTACTCGTATGTTTGAAAAGTCTCCCGCGACACAGGATATACTCCTAATCCGAGAGTTGTTTAAAAAAAAAAAGAAATAAGTAATGTCTTCGGCAAGTACGGTCAGCAAAAAAATTTAGTTCCTAAACTTAGTAACTTTTCTTAATTTCGTTAAAAAAAGTTATACAAATAAAACTATTTTTATAAAACGGTAAAATATTTCTTTTATAAACTCTATAAGCTACTCAAAAGTAAATACTTATTGTACCTATAGGTCAATTCGGCCCCGGTCCCACAGCCACGACCCATATACCGGTGGTTCTAGAACACGGACACATATACAACAGGTTCATTTCGTTATGTAAATAATTAAGTAATGTGTATATAATACGTAAAATTACCTAGACTAATTATTCGTCCTATCATCTTCCTGTTTCAATAAAGGAAGCCATTATTGGAAAACACGTCTAAACTTGTTTAAACGAGACCCAAACCCTTGAAAATAGACTCATGTTCAGAAATGTGTCAGTAACCAGTTCAGAGTATTTAATTTTTAAACATTTCCGTGTTGTAACAAGTTACTATTTTGGTCTAATAAGTCATAAAAGAATGTCACTTTTTCTGTTTTTATAAATTAGTTAAGTAAATACATGTTTTGGCCTACAAGTTTTTCTACCGCTGACTTCCGTTATGACCATAGATAATAAAATAACGACGACGTCTTTTATACATAATCACTAGGGATGGAAAAAAATCATAATAAACTGTGATTTATAAATCATATAATCACACCTGCGACTCATTTGACAAACCATTGCGACTTATTATTATCTAAAAAAGGTCGTAATCTTAATTAAAAAATTCTGATTGATTTTAATGGCATTTATCTTTGTCTAGGACCAAATCACAATCACAGGTAAAACCGCTGTGACTAAAACGTAATCATAATCATTTCATCATATGACTATGATGAAACTAGCAATAATTTCCATGTCTAATATCTCGACATCAGAACTATAAGGTCGATGTCCCACTTTTGCAGAACTCGTATTTTAACTGTTTTTTTTTTTCTCTTTCTTTTTCTTTAGGTAATATATTTGTATCTCTCTTTAATACAATTTTCGTTTACGAAGAAATGGTCGGATATCCACAATACTTTAGAACCAATTAGTCTGATCTTCATTTAAAATTCTATAATCTTGAGTTAAATAACAAATACATAATTTTTGCGGTATCATGTAAAGATCAGTCGAAAAATACATGTAATTTGTAGGTCTCTTATTAACAACATACCATGTAGCTCGGAAATTATTCGCTTCCATAAAGTCATTTATTAATAACAGTCTTTATGGCTCGGAACATAAGCGACAAGATTCCCTAAAAAGAGATAGTCCTATTATTTTGACTCCGTGGGACAGAGATAAATCATTAACATGCGACGTACCCTCTCCGACCGCGCGCTGCTCGCAGTTTGTTGTCATAACCGCGGGCAACGCCGCGGGGCGAAGCTAGTCTAAAAAAGTAGCCTAAGTTACTCCTTATGTCATCAGCTATCTGCCAGTGAAAGTCCCGTCGAAATCGGTCCAGCCGTTCCAGAGATTACGCGGAACAAACAGACAGACAGACAAAAATTGAAAAAAATGTTATTTTGGCATATGTACCGTGTAAACATACATATGCATTAAGTAAAAAGCGGTTATTTTAATATTACAAACAGACACTCCAATTTTATTTATTTGTATAGATAAATAATGAATAATAGCACCCGAAAAATATTAGAAAAATTGAAGAAACAGGGATGATGCTGTCCAAGGCGAGAAAGTACTATAATTAATCAAATTCATTAGTACAATAGCCTCAAAATGTAAATTTATTTTAAATTAAGTGCCTATTTTTTATTTCGTTTAGATGCATATAGATAGAAGACCATCAGTCCCCGGTTTGAGAGAAGGTATGTACCTAATTTATTAAGTTAGAACGATAAATAATTGGTTTATCACTACACTGTGTTCTTCATTGATTAATGTAATAATATTGAGTAGGTATATGGCAAGGAATTAATCCAGAAGATTATCAACAGATTTAGTTCGGTAGTTGTCCATCTGATTTGTGTCAAGCTCAGACATTCATTTGAGAAAGCATACTCAAGTCCGTGTGGTGGCGGATTAAGAATACAAATTGTCACTACCCCAATTCATCCCGTGGGTGTCGTAAGAGCCGACTAAGGGAGCAAACTACGCAGGACAACAGCACTGCAAAGAGAAGGAAAATTTGAAACAAACCCTATACCAACCCGTCTGGCCAGCGTGGTAAAGTAGGCCAAAACCTCCTTTCTAAGGAGAGGCCTATGTCCAGCAGTGGACTAGTATATGCTGTTGATGATGATGACTCAAGCAGCAACGTCGTCGTTGCGACCGTCTCTGGAACAAGTCGGATAACACCGAACTGAATCTGTTAGTAAAGGTGACTAAAATATATTCTAGTTTTCTGACTCATGAAAAACGCTAAACAACTGAAACGGGTTTGATGTATGAAGGAAAGCCCCCACGGAAGGACATAGGCTATTTCTTTCTAACCTCGACTTCGTATGCAACCGCGTTAACTAGCATCAAGCTAGAATACTTATCTTATTTATAAAATTCTCGTGTCACAATGTTCGTTCCCGTACTCCTCCGAAACGGCTTGACCGATTCTCATGAAATTTTGTGTGCACATCGGGTAGGTCTGAGAATCGGCCAACATCAATTTTTCATACCCCTAAATAGTAAGGGCGACCCATCCCTAATTTTTTTTTGTTTTGCAATACAACGTTTGCCGGGTCAGCTAGTACTTTATAAATGTGACTATTACTATAACTTTTATTCTATGACTTAATATTTCAACAAAATAAAAAATACTTGCTTCATACATTTCGTTGAGTTCTGCGAACTGTATGATTTTTTTTTACTACAAGATGTGAACTAAATATGGCTCGAATGATTGTATGATAGTGTATTTTAAATAAGTTATTTTTTTAGGCTCATTGTCACCATCAAGACAGATAAAGTTAAACGTTTTTTATTTAAGGAAGATGACAATCTAAACACACTTCAAGATCTCGTCGAATTTCATGAAAATGTTATAAATTTGTTGAGCTGTTAGTTGAACCATCAAACCAAGATGAAGATCAAGCTTTAAATAGTATTACTGCTAATATTGAAATATTTCGAAGCCCTATTTCTACTACTCGACCAACAGTAGATTCATTAACAAAAAAAGCTCCCAAAAAGAGAATAAAAAACCAAGAAAATTGGCAGAAAAATGTTGCAAAAAAAGCAAAATTGCTAGGAATAGCTTCTCAATCGAAAGTAGCAAAAAAAAGAAAAGAAGTTGCAGCCCGGTGTCTGAAACCGCCTTGTAATTACAGAGCAAAATGTTATGAAAAACTTAGCGAAGAAGACAGACAATTTTTTTTGACAATTTTTGGTCTGACTGTAACAGTTGGGAGCAAAGAAGACAGTATATTGCTGACAGCGTCAACAAGACGTTAAAGGTGAGAACTAGAGTAAATAGTCCCATTGAAGCTGAAAAAAGAAAATTTAATTACAACTACAGCCTAAAATTGAATGACCACGTTATAAGTAAATGCAAAGTTATGTTTCTGAATACGCTTTCAATGAGGGTTTTCTGAAATGTTCCACGTGAGATGGCAGCACGGTTCAACCACCTGTCAAAACACATACACGATTTGTATTTTTCGATCATTTTTTTGGTTTATTCATTCTTAAAAACGTTACAAAAGGAATATTGTTTTCTAAAATGCCACAGTGTTGTGCAGTGCCTATGTGTGCAAATAAAACTTTTGCGCCTCTCTTTTTGAGCTCAATCTTCAGTTCGGCAACCTTTCTCTGGCCGTAATCTATAATAAACTCAATAACACTTCCAAATTCATAGAATTTCACAAAAAAATTATACGTTCGGTAAGAATCTGTGCTATCTGACAGCTGTTTGGACCTGACGCATGCGAAGCGCCGTCTGGTGGCAGAAAAAATATCGAAAACCCTCATTGGCGAAAAATATGTTAAGATTACAGTGAGTAAAAAAAATGAAAGTGGTATAACAGAAAATGACAGGAGAGGACGCCATATTCCGTAAACAAAACTAATGATGCAATTATTAAATCCATAGTTGACCACATTTCATCATATCCCAGTTATGAGAGCCATTATACCAGGGAAAAGAGCAAGTGGCGTTACCTTGGCCCTGAACTTAATATAGCTCTTATGTATAAGCAGTACAAAAATAAAATGGTGGATGCAGCGAATGGCGTTGAAGAACATGCCAAAGAATGGCTCTATAGGGAAATTTTCAATACAAAATTTATCTTTCTTATGAATTACCTGATGTGGATACATGTGACGCCTGCGATAAATATAAAATATTATTAAAAGAAGAAACAGATGAAGAAAAGAAAAAAAGGATTTTCAAGACCCGGAAGTCAGTATATTTTAAAAAACATTAAAAATAATATGCCTGATCCAGACTTTATGACATGTTTCCTAAAAAGTCACAAATATCAAATCAGTCCACGATTGAGCCAAAATATAAAACGTTCACGAGCAACGATCTCCCCAGACACAATAAAGGCATATTTTGAGGAGCTTCAAAACTCACTTGAGGGAATACCACCGATCAATCTAGTCAATTACGACGAAACTAACCTCAGTGACGATCCAGGTCGCAAACGCGTACTGGTTAAAAGGAGTGTAAAATACCCCGAAAGAATAATGAACCATACAAAGGGTTCTATATCACTAATGATAGCTGCTGCCGCCGACGGGTCACTTTTACCTCCATATGTTGTATATAAAGCGCAGAATATGTATGATACGTGGAGGCAAAATGGACCTAAAAACTGTAGATACAGTTGCACACCTTCGGGTTGGTTCGATGGGAATACATTCCAGGATTGGGTTAGGACAATTGCAATGCTGTATTTTAGCGACAAATGTGGAGCTAAGATATTGATAGGTGATAACCTAGCTTCACATTTATCTATAGATTTAATAAAAGAATGTCAGGAAAATGATATTAAATTGGTTTTATGGCCAGCCAACTCTACCCACCTTTTTTTTTTTTTTTTACGTATGGAAATCGCCTCGGACCGGCATCCCACCGGGGTTTGCGGCGGGGTGGTGTGTCGGACTCGGACCGACTAAAACCACACGGTGTGCCACTCTGCGCCTGTAATAGGAGGGATCCGGGAACAGCTGTTATTAAGACATCCGGACCCCTCCTAGCGCCGGCCCGCAACGGCGCGGGCACCACCTTCGGTAAACTCTCTATTTAGGCGACGTCCGGCACACGGTACGTTTCCCTGCGTGCTGGAAGAGCGGGAAGCTGGTCCTATTAAGGAAGCCGCGGCCGATTCGGTCGCGGCCTACAGGCCCATCGTGCTGCTGGACGAGGCGGGTAAATTGTTTGAGAGGGTTCTCTCTGCCCGCATCGTCCGGCACTTCTACGAGGTGGGCCCCGATCTGTCGGACGCCCAATTTGGTTTTCGGGCGGGGCGTTCGACAGTCGACGCTGTTTTGCGCCTGAGGGCCGTGACCGAAGAGGCCGTGAGCTGTGGCGGCGTGCTGTTGGCGGTGTCATTGGACATCGCCAACGCATTTAATAGTCTGCCATTCAGCTGCATCAGGAAAGCACTACACTATCATGGGGTGCCAAAGTACCTGAGGCGGCTAGTGGCAGACTATTTAGAGGAGCGTACCGTCGTGTACGAGGACGGAGATGGTAATTCGAGGTGTCGGCCCATGTCGTGCGGTGTTCCACAGGGGTCTGTTCTTGGACCCCTCTTGTGGAACATAGGGTACGACTGGGCCCTTCGAGCCGATTTCCCCCCCGGGCTGGGTGTAATTTGTTACGCAGATGATACTCTGGTGACTGCCCGGGGGGCGAACTTCCAAGAGGCGGCGCGCCTGGCCACAAGGGGAGTCTCCCTGGTGGTCGGGCGCATTGAGGCGCTGGACTTACGGGTGGCTCTAGATAAGACGGAGGCTCTCTTATTTCATGGGCCCCGTCGTGGTCCACCCCCTGGCGCCTCAATTGTGGTAGGCGCGCTCAACCGGGCGGGGTAGGCGCGCTCACCTGCGCCTCATGCCGCCCTGAGTGTGGCCGCGGGTGGACGGGGTGGGTTTCCCCTCCACCCGCATTAGTTTGGCCAGCCGCGAGGGGGCGGCGTCCAAGCTAGCGTCGAACACCTCCCCGAGGCGGTCTGCCATGTGGTTGAGGGCTAGGGCTAGCACTCGGGCCGGTCCCCGTCTGGCCCAGGGGCGGTGTTCTTGGAACGGATCCGTAGAACAGCCGCCCCTACCTCCGAATCCCGGACGGGCGGAACATCATCCTCCTCGTGCTCCCCGTTGTCTCCGGCCAAGGAGGCCATCGCTACCCACCTAACACAACCACTGGATGTGGCATGTTTTAGACCTCTGAAAATGGCATAGAGGAACTTACTGATGGACTGGAAAAAGACTGATGGGAGGACTCAAGCTTCAATACCAAAGAATATATTTCCTTCTTTGTTGAAGAAACTAATGAACAATATAGAGTGCAATGTTGCCAAGAACATATTAGCTGGATTTGATAAATGTGGTATATGCCCTATAAATAAACTGAAAGTTTTGGACAGATTGCCATCATATACTCCAGAAATTGCGGGCTTCAAAGAAGTTATTGATGAGACTGTACTATCCGTTTTAAAAGAAATGAGATATGGAAAATTCCCAAACAGCAACTGATAATGACTGTAAAGCTGGCCCTAGCAATTTTATGCTATTGGAAGAATGGAAAAGCATCATATAAAACAAAAAGGAACGAAAAGAACTGCACTTGTTAATGAAAAGACTGATGGAGGAGTGAAAACGACTTATAAATTCTTAATAAAAAAAAACTAAGATTAAAGAACAAAAAAATGAAACCAAGGCGAAAAAACATGATAAAGAGGCTGAAGTACAGGCAAACATCCTTAAAAATACAACAAAAACACAGTGATTCTCGAGAAAAAAAATCCAATTATTTGTTGCAACAATCTTAGTACATTCGCAGAAAACGCTTCAAAACAGAACATTTCGCCGGAAAATTTCGCAGTTCTTTTTGTTTTTTCACAGTTGCTTGAGAATGTTGAAAACATGGATATAATAAATGTAGACTTGGATGCAATGCCTGTAATATTTGAAGATTTTCTAACAATTCCTAATGCAGTGCAGGGGCTTGTCACGAATTCAAAGATGAAACAAAAATAAACATGCCTGAAAACAAAAACAAAATTCTTATAATATCAGACGAAGTCGTAAACTTTAAACCAAAATTTAACATCTGCAAACTGAAAAAGGAAAAAAATATAAAAAAACCACAACTACAGGAATGACGCTGAAATATTATCAGATCTCATGGATAATGTGTAATGGTTAGGCATATATCTTTAGATATAATAGTAATCATAATTCATGATGAAAGTCAATGATTGATCTCTGATTAATGCCCAATTATACATAAGTGTATTGTATAAATAAGTAAGATATAAGTAAAAGTGCCATATCTCTTGAATGTTGATCTTTTAAAGTTTCATCATCATCATCATCATCAGCCTATCGCAGTCCATTGCTGGACATAGGCCTCCCCCATTGCACGCCACTCAGATCGATTTTGGGCTTCTCGCATCCAGCTCCTGCCAGCCATCTTGCGCAAATCGTCACTCCACCTGGCCTGTGGGCGTCCTACACTACGTTTGACGCGACGACGACGTACGACCGAGACGCGGTCTCTACTCAAGAACTCGTTTTCCCCAACGGTTATCGGTTCTGCGGCTAATATGGCCAGCCCACTGCCACTTCAGTTTACCTACGCACAATATGATAATAATTAATGTAAGATGTCTTTCTGTGATTAAAGTAGATAGGTACCTAGATACTTATTTAAATTTATGAATAAAGTTATTTTTAAAAACATTCCTGAATTTATATTATTTACTAAGTACGAGTATAACCTTTACCCGATTCTACAAAAATGGTAATATATTTTTAAACATCTTCATTATGAGTATGTACCTACTTCCATGATAAGCAGGTACCTACAATACTATCTAATTAAGTTGTGATAACCCTAACAGTTTTTCCCTATTGCCTCATAGTTGGTCCCTATTGACCCCTTATTGTGTTTGAATAGGGATGACCAACATTTTAGTAAATTATGAAAAGATTCTTGATTCCAAAAGTCATTTGTTTGTTATTTCTTAAAGTGTAGACTAACTCAAGTTTTAATATTACAAAACACTAAGGTTCCACAAGAAACATCAGATATTTTTTTATCTGAAGTCTAATTTCGTCCCTATTGACCACGTTTTTCGGTATGTTGATCAGCTGACCTGTTACCATAAAACATGCTCTGCCTAGTTAGGGATCAGACGGCCGTGTGTGAGATGTGTGAAGTCATTATTTTATATTTACCAGATTTGTGCTTCTGTTTAATAGATAAATCGCGCTGTTCTCTTTTCGGGGTAAGCAGAGACAACAAAACCAACTCAAGGGTCACAAGTGCGTTGTCGCCCTTTTAGTCCCTTACTCCGGAATCAGGGGGAGGGGGTAGGTTTGGCTCCAACCTAACTTACTTTATGAAAAACGATGAAACAATTGCTTAACTCAGATTGTTTGTAAGGCGGTGGTATCACTCCGGTCGAGCTTGGCCTATATGTGTCGAGCTTTAGCAGAGTTACCGCATTAGTTTTTTTTTTTATGACATGGTTGTCACATGGTCATCCCACATACGGTTAAATTTATATTCAACAATTTAAAAAAAATGTGTCTCCTTAAACGACAATGTGTTCCTCAACAAAAAGGCCTTCCTATGTTTGACCATTCAGTACTTTTTTGTTTGTCATGTGAAGCGGCTGTTTAGTCTGGGAATGTCGCATCGCTTTGGCAGCAAGTGTTGTAGCTAGGGTTCCCAGATAGAAACATATCAAATCCGGGACAATTCTATGAAAACGGTGTCGGGTCGTGGCCATAGTAGGATTTATATTTTCATTTGAAAAGGAAAATGCCATTTATTCTCAAATACATACTTTTATTAGACAGGTATCTTAGCGAAAAGGAAGGTGGCCTTCTTTGGACATATACAAAGGGGCCCGCAACATGAATTCCTGAGGCTTCTGTTAGAAGGAAAAATACCAGGCAGGAGGACACCAGGTCGACCACGAAGGAAGTGGATAGATGACATCGTGGCCTGGACCGGACTGCGATATCGCCAACTAAAGGAGGCCGCTCATGATCGAGAGGTGTACCGTCTGCTGACCTCCAAACTTCATTTTGAGGATGGCACCCCATGATGATGATCTACGCACTCACAGGCAGGCCAGCCGTGTCATTCGTTGTTAGTTTATTTTGTTACACAACTAGTAGGTTTTCATAATTCGGGACAATAAGGTCTAATTACTGGACACGGGACAAGACGCAAAATTCCGGGACAATGCCGGATTTCCCGGCCATCTGGCAAGCCTAGTTGTATCCCTCCTTTTTCAGTTAATGCTATTCGAAGTTCTTTGTGATATTTGTATAGTCTATTTTGATATCAGATGCTGTACTCGCTTATTTCGTGTTTGACTGTTTTTACGTTAAGTTTCATATACATTGCTTATGCAATTCGGAATGTTAAACATGGTTCTTAGTGCCTTGCTTTGAAATCTTTCAAAGTATTTCTATGATGCTGTTACTTGCAGTACCCTACAGCAGGATCACATATGTCCAGATAGGTTTTATTATCGTTTTATAGACCATCATCTTGCTGGTGTTAGCGTACGGATGGCGTAGTGGTTTAAGTGGTCGCCACGCCGCTTCCTATTAAGCTTGTTGTTACGCTGTTGTGGGTTCAAACCCCACATGGGACAACACTATATGGGATCCACAAATTGTTGTTCTTAGTCTGGGTGTTCTTTGTGTCCGTTTCATGTATGTTTGTAAACTCTTAAACTCGTAAAACTTTTTTATAAAACAAAAAAAAACGGCAAGTAGCATCCATTTAACGAATATTGATTACTAATGTGTTTGTTTGCTTAAAGCGTTTTTTTTTTTCGTACAACCTTCAACTTACATTTGTGTATAATGTCACGTCTTATTGCAAAACTGTTAATGTGTTTACTTGAATTAATAATGGAATGTGTTAATAACTGTGCTTCCAATAACCTGTGACCTCCTCGCCTTGGCAGGAGTAAGAAAAGTTTCAAAATATGCTCCGCTCCCCTCTTACAATAGTTGCAAATGTTGTGTATCTTCTGACATCTTTTTTACTATCTGACGGCCAACTCTAGCACTGTGCGCTTATTGGAAAGTGCGTTCATAAGAAAGTATTTTTATTGATACACAGCACAGAGAGCTCACTTGCCGCCCTAATAGGTTCTCTAGCTCTCAGCTTTATCAATCTTGTGAAGTTCTCTCTGTCGGCCATCTGTATTCATCCTGCTCTCAGTCATTAGGCAACACGCAAGGTTTATCTTTGATAAAACTGCATTAAACTCCAAGCGACGACGTAAGGATGATTACTTTCGTCGACAGACCAATATTTAAACATCAATCTGCAAATAAATATTTTCCCTTCTTAGGCCCTTATTTCTATAATAAATTAAATCTAATAATTGATATACATAGTCTAAGTAGTAAACACACACACGTACGTACGCACACACACACACACACACACACGTACGCACGCACGCACACACACACATATACACTCACACACACACACACACACACACACACACACACTACCATATTACACACAGGGAGGCTTACACTCCACTAATCAATTTATATAATATTAATAAATGATAAACATATAATATTTAATCAATGTATTTTTTTTTATGTTAGAGGGGGCAGACGAACAGACGGGTCACCTGATGGAAAGTGACCAGCGCCGCCCATGAACGTCTGAACGCAGGAGTCACAAACGCGTTCCCGGCCTTTTAGGAACGAGTACGCTCTTTTCTTGAAGTTTTGAAGGTGGTATCGGTCCGGAAATACCGTGATGAGGAGGAAAATTTTGCCATGTGGAATGATTGGTGGTGTGGTATTAGTCCGAACAATTCCTGGGAGCACTCTCTATGATATATGCGATAGAGAATGCAGAGTGAAGCTTCATACATCTCTACATAACGCCAAGGGATCAAGCCGATCTGAGATGTTTGGGATATGGCTATTACCTAGGAAGAACGCTGCTGTCTGAAGCACAGATATTCAGACACAGATGTTCATTAAATAGTGTCTGTAATGAGATATACCTTCTCGTTTGTATCAAGTTGTACAATTGATAGCAACGGAACACTTCGGTACCGAAGACTTACAATAGTAATATGTTACACGTACCCGTACGTAGATGTAATTATTTATATGGTGAAAGGAATCGTAACTATATGGTCCCTAAACTGTTTAATAACTTACCGCCAGCTCTTTAAAAATAGTACAAAGCGAATATTTTGTATATATAATATACTAGCTGGTCCCCGCGACTTCGTTCGCGTGGAATTTGAGAAGCGGTGCCTTAGTGGGTTCGATGCCGGGCGGAGTGGGCAAAATTTTAAAGGGTTTTTCTGTGAGGAAAAAAGCCTAAGTTATTCCTTATGTTGACTGCTACCAGGTAGTAAAATATTATCGAAATCGATCCAGCCGTTTAGAAGATTACCCGGAACAAACAGAGAGACAGACATTAAAAAAATTAAACCGTGTGAGCATGAGAAAAACCTATA